GTTCTGCAGAGTTTAGGAACTCTTTTATCTCGGCACGGAGGGAAAGGCACATTTTTCAGCATGAGATCAGAGACCGGCCACACACATGAGTTGGATCACATGGCTGTAGAGAAATGTGTCAGGGCAACCAGCTGTTCCAGCTAACGAGCAGTGATCGGAATTCTGCGTCCCCATGTTTAATAATGGGGGCTTCTGGGGAAGATAGCTATGGTAGAAGTCATCATGAATTAGAAGAGGAACAGCGTAAAATTGAAATTCCTGTAGTATATGGAATAACGAATCCAGTTAATGTGGCCCCATACAGGATTGCGCCCTATGCAGCTGCATAACTGATCCATAGCCAAGCTCTGCTTTTCCTATACTGCGTACCCCTTACTCATTCATGTTTGTGGGGAGGCAGAATCCCTGCCCACAGACCTCCACAACCAACAGGCCGAGGTTGTAGGGAAGAGGCCCTTCAACATGGGGACAAGGTGTTTTGTCTTTGAGGTTCTCCCTTAGCATAGTACCCTTCCCATATTGAGGGCATGTGGTCTAGTATGGTTCCACCTCTTGTCTGGTTGCCTGCCAGGCTGCATTCATGGTCAGATAAGGCCTTGTTCACAGGGAGCGATTACATCTGTGCCCCATGCAGGACTGTATACCAGTACAGGAATGCGCAAATGTTGGGTGCATTCCTGTGCCAGCAGTTCAGTTGTCTATTGGGATGCAGTGGCTATGGGGACACACTTCATACCAGACCTAGAAGGTATGGTGTTTAATTTGGAGGGGATCCCACAGTTTTTGTGTGGGTAAGTGTGGTCCTCCATTATTGTCTACAGTATATCGTCTAGGACAATGGTTTCCAAACTGTGGCCCGGGGACCGGATGCGGCCCTTTGCTTGTCTTTATCTGGCCCTTGAGGCACTACTCCAGCCACTGATGTAGGGCATTATTCCCCCCACTGACACCAACAAAAGGGCACTATTCCTCCCAATGACACCAGCGATGGATCACTATTCTTCCCAATAGTACCAATAATGGGACACCATTCCTTCCATTGATACCAATGATGGGCACTTTTTTCCCCACTGACACCAACAACAGGGCACTATTCCTCCCAATGACACCAGCGATTGATTACTATTCTTCCCACTAGTACCAATGATGGGACACTGTTCCTTCCATTGATGCACATGATGGAGCACTATTCTTTCCATTGATACCAATGATGGGGCAGTATTCCTTCCATTGATACTAATGATGGGGCACTATTCTCCCCACTGACACCAACAACACGGCACTATTCCTCCCAATGACACCAGCAATGGATCACTATTCTTCCCACTAGTACCAATGATGGGACACTATTCCTTCCATTGATACCAATGATGGGGCACTATTCTCCCCACTGACACCAACAACAGGGCACTATTCCTCCCAATGACAACAGCGATGAATCACTATTCTTCCCACTAGTATCAATGATGGGACACTATTCCTTCCATTGATACACATGATGGGGCACTTTGTTCCCCACTGACACCAACAACAGGGCACCATTCCTCCCAAGGACAACAGCGATGGATCACTATTCTTCCCACTATTACCAAGGATGGGACACTATTCCTTCCATTGTTACACATGGTGGGGCACTATTCCTTCCATTGATACTAATGGTGGGGCACTATTCCTTCCATTGATACTAATGATGGGGCACTATTCTCCCCACTAACACCAACAACAGGGCACCATTCCTCCCAATGACAACAGCGATGGATCACTATTCTTCCCACTATTACCAATGATGGGACACTATTCCTTCCATTGATACCAATGATGGGGCACCATTCTCCCCACTGACACCAACAAAAGGGCACTATTGCTCCCAATGACACCAGCGATGGATCACTATTCTTCCCACTAGTGCCAATGATGGGACACTATTCCTTCCATTGATACACATGATGGGACACTATTCCTTCCATTGATACACATGATGGTGCACTATTCCTTCCATTGATACACATGATGGTGCACTATTCCTTCCATTGATACACATGATGGTGCACTATTCCTTCCATTGATACACATGATGGTGCACTATTCCTTCCATTGATACCAATGATGGGGCACTATTCTCTCCACTGACACCAACAACAGGGCACTATTCCTCTCAATGACACCAGCGATAAGTCACTGTTCTTTTCACTAGTACCAATGATGGGGCGCTATTCCTTTCACTGATATCAAGGATGGCGCATTGTTTACTCCGAGGGCATTTTCTACTTACACAGGCCACAGTCCGGCCCCCTCAAAGTCTGAAGGGCAGTATAATGGCCCTTTGTTTGGAAAGCTTGGAGACTTCTGATCCAGGGTAAGATTCTGGTATAGATGAAGGGAATTCCTGGCCACGTAAAGACAGAAGGAAGTGGACAATGGAGAACTTTGGCATCCAAACTTTCATTAAGTTTGTGAATTTGTTCTGAGTCTGAGCCCAGCATTCGACTCATCACCAATGTCTAACCTCCATCATTATAAAAAATAGAAGTGGTGCTCATCCTGCAGCTTCTGCAATCAAACAATGGTGCATTGTTCAGAGTTAACCAGCGAAGGATGTGTAGAAGTTTTGTTTTCTTTCTGAACAGATTATCTGAGTCTTGTTACAGCTCATATTTCAGCTGACATTTGTTTAGCAGTTTTGGGATAACTTCACTAAATAAGCTGTTTGCATCCTCTTCCTCATTTCTGTATTATTTTACACTTTATGGTTGTGTGCGCTCAGGTGACATCCTTGCTGATACCCGTGTGCGCTCGGGTGACATTCTCGCTGATACCCGTGTGCGCCAGGTGACATCCTCACTGTTACTTGTGTGCGCTCAGGTGACATCCTCGCTGATACCTGTGTACGCTCGGGTGACATCCTCGCTGATACCCATGTGCGCTCGGGTGACATCCTCTCTGATACCCGTGTATGCTCGGGTGACATCCTCTCTGATACCCGTGTGCGCTCGGGTGACATCCTCTCTGATACCCGTGTGCGCTCGGGTGACATCCTCGCTGATACCAGTGTACGCTCGGGTGACATCCTCGCTGATACCCGTGTGCGCTCGGGTGACATCCTTTCTGATACCCGTGTGCGCTCGGGTGACATCCTCTCTGATATCCATGTGCGCTCGGGTGACATCCTCGCTGATACCAGTGTACGCTTGGGTGACATCCTCGCTGATACTCAGGTGACATCCTTGCTGATACCTATGTGCGCTCGGGTGACATCCTCGCTGATACCCATGTACACTCAGGTGACATCCTCACTGATACCCGTGTACGCTCAGGTGACATCCTCGCTGAAACCGGTGTGCGCTCAGGTAACATCCTCGCTGATATCCGTGTGTGCTTGGGTGACATCCTCGCTGAAACCGGTGTGCGCTCAGGTAACATCCTCGCTGATATCCGTGTGCGCTTGGGTGACATCCTCGCTGATACCTGTGTGCACTTGGGTGACATCCTCGCTGATACCCGTGTGAGCTCGGGTGACATCCTCGCTGATACCCGTGTATGCTTGGGTGAGATTCACACTGACACCTGGGAGGGTTCAGGCGAGATCCGCACTGATACCTGGTTGGGTTCAGGTGAGATCCGCACTGTTACCTGTGTTCCCCCCAAAGATCACCTTCAGCTGTCCCTTAGAAAGCCTCATTCAGCCCAAAATGGCCACTCCCCCATAGTTCAAGGGACTGCCTGGTATTTTTATACGCATATCACATTTTTGGTATTTCTTCTTGCACCTATTGCTATGGGGAGTTCTTTACATGTTATTTTTAGTTTGCTCTTTGATCATCTTTCTGTTTTGTGAAGGAGGTTTAACCTTTCACTGATATGTTTTGCCTTTATTGGCTGAGTTTCTTCTTCATCATAAAAGCAGATGACGGGTCACACAAATGGGATTCTCACATGTGATCCTCACATTTGTACAGATTCTCAGAGAGTTTGTTTGTTCTGGGTGGTTCTGGATTATCCGGTGTTTACCCTCCTTGTCATCTGTAAATCCCATGCAAACCCCCCCCCCCCCCCCCCCCCCCCCCCCCCCCCCCCCCCCAACCCCCCCCCCCCCCCCCCCGACTGATGCAATTGAACTTCACAAACAGGGAAATACACAGCTGAAATACATCTATAATATGTAATATGATACATGTTCTGTCTTTATTCTATTTTATTTTGTTCTATTATTTTCTATTCTATTCTTTTTATGTTCTATTCTATTCTGTTTTATTTTACTCTTTTCTATTCTATTTCATTCTATTCTTTTTGAATTTTGAAAGACAGCATATTTCTTACTGTTCTATTCAAAATTCAAATTTCAGAAGGTGGCTATATTCTTTCTATTTTATTCTATTCTTTTCTATTCTATTCTTGCATTTTCTATTCTGTTCTTTTTTTATTTTATCATTTTATGTTCAAGACTATTCTTTTCTATTCTGTTCTGTTTTTTTATTTTAATTACATTCTATTTGAAATTCAGAAGATGGCTATATTCGAACACTAGTACACACAGCCTTTGAAGAGAATTAACAGTAATATGTTTACAGTTCAAATTTGTTTTCAAATTTGATTTAGTTTTCGAATCAGTTTCAAATTAGTTTAAAATTCGATTCAATTTGAATTATTTAAGACACAATTTTTTTTCATTATTTTGTATTGATTTAAATTATTATTTACTATCCTAATTTGGAAATTAGTATATATCCGAATCTCCAAATACAAAACATTTTGACCGAATTTTGATTCGGAATGAAACGAATTGCACAGGTCTAATAATATTATTCCTGTGTTTCCTGAAATGGTTAACTCGTATTTCCTGTAATAGGACTTTATTTTCTGTAATATTCCTGTATTTCTTCCTGTATTTGTGTGTGTTTAGATGGATTGTCTTGTATCTCATTTTAAAGTATTTTTTTCTTGGTGTTACCGACCATCATTTTGATATTTGTACAAACTGGAAATTTTCTTTTGTTTTTCAGACGACGGATCTTTTGGTGGATGAATCCAGTTTCACGGGTGAGACAGAGCCATGCAGTAAGACCCATGGGTCTGTGGATGAAGCCAGTGGATTGGCAACGCTCAGCAACATTGTGTTCATGGGGACGCTTGTCCGATATGGCAAAGGAAAGGTGATTGTGTATGGGGGATATTAAGCAATATATAAAGCCAAAACTTTGTTGTTGTTTTTTTGTAGGGAAATGTTGATGTAAATATTTCATTTTGTGTGTTCCTCTTTGGGGAGGTTACCCCTGACTTCCTGTTCTGGAGAGATGGCAGGTAGAGAGAGAGAACCTCTGGATAGTGAGAGGGATTCCCCTCTTAAACACCAGAACAGGTGACCCCATTGAAAGTTTTCCCCTCTATGACTCTTCAGGTGACAACCTCAGAATTGGATTTCCCACTACTTTCTGTCTCAGTGACACCAAGACATAGAAGTGTGAATCTTTCCAGTGGGACATGGACAGCAAAAAACACCTGATAGGATTTCTAACTCCATACAAAAAAGAAAATATTGTTAGATACACGTTGATGTCTCCAGGAGACTTGAGGACTGTGTGAGGTCTGTGGGCTGTGTGTGTGGTCTGTGTGTGTGTGGTCTGAGGGCTGTGTGTGTGGTCTGAGGGCTGTGTGTGTGTGGTCTGAGAGCTGTGTGTGTGGTGTCTGTGGGCTGTGTGTGTGTGTGTGGTCTGGGGGCTGTGTGTGTGGTCTAAGGCCTGTGTGTGGGGCTGTGTGTATGGTCTGAGGGCTGTGTGTGTGGGCTGTGTGTGTGGTCTGAGGGCTGTGTGTGTGGTCTGAGGGCTGTGTGTGTGGGTTTGTTTGGGGTGTGTGTGTGTGTGGGGCTGGGTGTGGGGTGTGTGGGCTGTGTGTGGGCTGTGTGTGTGGTCTGGGCTGTGTGTTGTGTTGGGTTTGTGGGTGTGTGGGGTCTTGGGCTGTGTGTGGGGTGTGGGGGTGGGGTTGTGGGCTGTGTTGGGGTTGTGGGCTGTGTTGTGGGGGTTGTGGGCTGTGTGTGGGGTCTGTGTGGCTGTGTGTGGGGTTTGTGGGCTGTGTGTGGGGTGTGTGTTGGTTTGTGTGTTTGTGGGTGGGGGTGTGTGGTGGTTGTGTGTGTGTGGTGTGTTTTGGGGCTGTGTGTTGTTTGGTGTGTGTGGGCTGTTGTGTGTGGTGTGTGGGTGTGTGTGTGGGTTTCTGGGGGGGTGTGTGGTTGTTTTTTGGGGGGCTGTGTGTGTGTGTGTGGGTCTGTGGGCTGTGTGTGTGTGGTTGTGTTTTGTGTGTGTGTTTTCTGTGGGCTGTGTGTGTGGTTGGGGGCTGTTTGTGTGGTGTTTGTTGTGGGCTGTGTGTTTGGTTTTGAGGGTTTAGTGTGTGGGGGGCTGTGTGTGTGGTTGAGGGGTGTGTGTGGTTTTGTGGCTGTGTGTTTGCTGTTTTGTGTGGTCTTTTTGGCTGTGTGTGTTGGTCTGTTGGTTTGTGTGTGTGTGTGTGTGTTGTGTGTTTTGTGTGTGGGCTGTGTGTGGGGTCTGTGGGCTGTTGTGTGGGTGGGTGTGTGTGGGGTCTGTGGCTGGGGTTGTGTTTTTTTTGAGGGCTTGTGTGGGGTGTGGGCTGTGGTGGGGTGTTGTTGGCTGTGTGTCTGAGGGTTTGTGGGGTGTGTGGGCTGTGTGTGGGGTCTGTGGGCTGTGTGTGTGGGTCTGTGTGTGTGTGGTCTGTGGGCTGTGTGTGTGTGGTTTGTGGTCTGTTTGTGTGTGGTCTGTGGGCTGTGTGTGTGTGGGTTGTGGGCTGTACAGAGCTGGGAATTAGAACATGGAGACCTCATTGTTGAAGTTTCCAGTATAAACAAGAAACCTTCAAGGGTTTTCTGCCCACACTGGACTCCACATAGAACTGAACTATGCCAGGTGCTGTACTTTTCCTTTCTCTTGATATTATCATTTCTTCCGGCAGGGTCTAGTCATCAGCGTCGGTGAAAAGTCACAGTTTGGTGAAGTTTTCAAGATGATGCAAGCGGAAGAGGTCCGTATATATCTAATGTATGATAAAAAAATGTATATAGTAGTTTGTATCACTTTGTATGCTACTGTTAAGGCTCTGTTCACACTAGTGTGATTTCAAATGCAATTTCAGTTGCACAGAATCGCATGACCATGGAAATCACATTGTTTTCAATGGAGCCCATTCACATCAATGGATCTCTACTGCGATGCAGCTTTTGGGAAGGTGTCTGCGCAAAGCAGTGCAATTTTGTACCCCATAGACTTCAATAGAGTAGCACCAAAAGTGCATGGAAATTCTTTTTTGCTGCCTATTGCCTATGATTTGTGTTCGCATTCTTGTCGACGTCTTAACAACCAGTCAGTAGCAGGGATGAGTCATTGGTTGTTAAGAAGTTGGCACCTGCCAGCGTCCTAACAACCATGAGTCATCCCTATTGTCAGCGGGTGATTCGCCAATTACAGCAGAATGTAAACAAAGCCATTAAAAAAAAATGGGAGGACCCAACGCCAAAATAAAACACAAAAGAAATGCATGGGGTCCCCCCACACTGGCAGGTGGTGTTCACCATGAATGACATGGACCTAAATGGATGGATGATCTAATTGGCGTTAGATGTGCATCGGGGGTCTTTTTTTTTTTTTTTTATTTAATAAAAAACTTGTCAAAAACGTGTTGTGTTTTTATGTACTTTTGACATTGTCTGGTGAATGAATAGGGGTACTGTGTAACCCATACTCATTTACATGGGGGGCTGGGATCTGGGGACCTCTTTGTTGAATGGGGCTTCCAGATTCCAATAAGTCACCCCCGCACCCCCACAACCACTGGGGGCCAGGGTTGTGGGGAAGAGGTCCTTGTCCTCATTACCACAGGGAAAAGGTGCTTTTCCAGGGGGGTCCCCTTTCTGGCAAATTAACCCCCCCCCCCCATGTTGAGGGCATGTGGCCTAGCATTGTTTAGAAGGGAGAGGCCCCCTTTCTTGACCTGTCAGACTGCATGCTCAGACAAGTGTCTGGTATGGATTTTGAGAAGGGGCCCGTGCCTTTTTTTTTTTTTTTTTTTTGCATGGGCTTCCTCTTTAAAATCCATACCAGACTATTTTTTTTAATGCTGGCTTTTTGCTTTTATTCTGTTGTCAGTGAGGAATTCCTGCAGGAATAACTCATGGTTGTTAGGATGCCAGCGGACACCGGCTGCTTAACAACCAATAACAGCAGGGATGAGTTGCAGTAATAAACATTAAATAAGTGTCAAAAATGCACTGCAGTTGCACTACAAAATCCCACTGATAGACCATGGCATTTTTGCACCAGTGTTGCATTGCACCTGTGTGAACCAGGCCTTTGACATATACATAATACAGACAAACACCATGTGACATTCGTATAATGAACAGATACACCATGTGGTTTGTATAATGAACAGATACACCATGTGACATTCAGTCTGTATAATGAACAGATACACCATGTGACATTCGTATAATGAACAGATATACCATCGTGACATGGGACATTCGTATAATGAACAGATACACCATGGAACAGTCTGTATAATGATTTTTGAACATATACATCATGGGACAGTCTGTATAATGAACAGATACACTGTGGGACAGTCGTATAATGAACAGATACACCGTGGAACAGTCGTATAATGAACAGATACACCGTGGGACAGTCTGTATAATGAACAGATACAACGTGGGACATTCGTATAATGAACAGATACACTGTGGGACAGTCTGTATAATGAACAGATACACTGTGGGACAGTCTGTATAATGAACAGATACACCGTGGGACAGTCTGTATAATGAACACATACACCATGGGACATTCATATAATGAACAGATACAACCTGGGACAGTCGTATAATGAACACATACACCATGGGACATTCGTATAATGAACAGATACACCGTGGGACAGTCGTATAAAGAACACATACACCGTGGGACATTCGTATAATGAACACATACACCGTGGACAGTCTGTATAATGAACAGATACACCAAGGGACATTCATATAATGAACAGATACACCATGGGACATTCGTATAATGAACAGATACACATACACCATGGGACATTCGTATAATGAACACATACACACCATGGGACATTCGTATAATGAACACATACACCATGGGACATTCGTATAATAAACATACACCATGGGACATTCGTATAATAAACACATACACCATGTGACATTCGTATAATGAACACATACACCGTGGGACATTCGCATAATAAACACATACACCATGGGACATTCGTATAATAAACACATACACCGTGGGACATTCGTATAATAAACACATACACCGTGGGACATTCATATAATGAACACATACACTATGGGACAATCGTATAATGAACACATACACCATGGGACAGTCTGTATAATGAACACATACACCATGGGACATTCATATAATGAACACATACACTATGGGAAAGTTGTATAATGAACACATACACCATGGGACAGTCGTTATAATGAATAGATACACCATGATACATTCATTATAATGTACGGATGGATGCATTCATATGTACACTGAGGAAAGATGCATTGATTACTACTAATGGCATAGTGGTCAGGAAAATAGGGATCTCCTATGACCAGCATTTCGGGGGTCACTGTTACCACTTTCTCAGAAAAGGAGTAACAGGAACACTACAGGAATACCATATAATGTGTATATACATTTTTATTTTATATATATATATATATATATATATATATATATATATATATATGTATATTATTCAGCTGTGATTTATAATTTAGGGGTTTCTTGTTTTCCGTTAGGAACGGCACCCTAGTGAATGGCACCCCCTCATTGTACATATGTTCCTATTATTGATATGCAAAGGAGAGATCATTTCTATACTGTGAGGACAGCGGGTACAAGAAGCCGAGTCAATCTAAAATCTTTCTAATTTTTAATAACTTTCTGTTGACGGTTGATTATTTATGGCCTCTGATAGCAGAGAATGAGTGTAGAATCTGTCTCCTCTCCCGTTCATATACAACCACCAATCCACACAGACTGCTCACCTGACAGTAACTCTGCCCTCCTATGACAGTGGGCTCACATAGCAGTAGCCTTTGGTGTCACCGTGTGATCCCCCAATGATTTCCTCTTCTGTTTCAGACCCCGAAGACCCCTCTGCAGAAGAGTATGGACAAGCTGGGAAAGCAGCTCTCTCTCTTCTCTTTGGTATTATAGGTGAGAAACGAATCTCATGATATTGACCAAGCTCTCTGAGCTGTGTGTGGCTGTCCAGACAAGTCTCTGGGGGGGTCGCTAGTTATGAAGTAGAATTGTCTGATCTCGGGGTCACTCTTAATGTGTGCAGTGCGATTTGTTGGATAATAATAAAAATTATCCAAATGAGAAAGGAGATCAAGCTTTAGAAAATCACATCAAATGTCAAGACTAGTGGTAGCTAATGGGTTTCTGGGGGGCAAAGTACCCCCCTTCATCAGGGCATTGGAATATATGGCAGAATTCCTATATGGACTATAGTACTAGAAGAGGATCTCCATCAGAAGACGAGCATAAACAACGGAACAGTGGCTCAGTACTGAAAATACTGGTCACCATCTAGGAGAATGTACTATAGTCAATATAGGAATTCTGCCATCAAAGTCTAAGCCCTGATGAAGGGGGATACTTTGGTCCCCGAAATATGCTGGATACTGCTTGTCTCAACATTTAATGTGCTTGTCTGGTTATCTATATTTATTTCTCAATTTGGATATATCTTTCCTATTAACGTGTTGAAAAGAATATACTGTACATTTCTAATATTTTGTGACTGTTAAGAGAAGATCTGGGTGGCCGTGTTCCAGTTTCTTGTCTTGTGTGTTTTTATGTGTCTAAATAAAGTTTATATAAAGTCAGAACCTTTCTTTCAATTTTTTGGGGTGTGGAAGATTAGAACCTCTGTCAGGTTTTTGTTCACTCCCTCTTTCATCCTGGTGTCACCGGGACAGAAAGTAATGGGAAAGCCAACATTTTGCAGTTGCTACCTGTTGTCAATCTTCCTCCAGACCAAGTGTAAGCATCTGAAATCATTAGGTTGCCATATACCAGCTGAAAGATGAAATCAGGCTTGATTGAGGGGATTACCTGCTCTTTAGCTGATCAGTGGGAGGTGGGGGGACACTTGGCTGGCCCCATCCTAAGATTTCCCTTCCTGCAATGCAGCCTATGTGTAGATGTTCACTAGTAGTCAGAAAGCAGGCCAATGTATGAAATCTGTGAGATCTCAGGCTCTGAAAAGTGTTACCCTCTGTTTCCTAGTCATCAATATCGCATAGTGGGGGTGAATATATTGATATACATTTGTACCAGTTTTTAAACAATTCCTATATAGGGTTTGCAGTTGTGCTGTTAGTTGTTTGGAGTTGTCCTTTTAAGTGGATGTAAAGTCAGGGTGTCCTCTTAACACTGTAACCATTTCTCTCTTGCAGGGTTGATCATGCTGATTGGCTGGTTGCAGGGGAAGCCTCTCCTCAGTATGTTCACCATTGGTGTCAGGTAAGTTGACACAGAGCAATTTGTACTACGCGGGATCTGAGCACTTTATGTACATCGCTGCCCTGTAGTCTCTATGTCCCTTTCTGTCACATGAAACACCCCAAAGCCTCTCCATAACACTGCCGGGCCCCCCGAGGTTGGGATTGGTGCGTTCTCAGATATTGCGTCACTAAACCCCAACCTCTTCGTGTAGTCTTGTCTAAACAATGCATAAAAAGCAATCATGTGGTGACAAAGTGACAAGCTGTAGAATTTTCATGAAAGAGATGTCAGAGATGAAAGGATCCGTCACTCTGGAAATATGTTTTTCATCATTCAGTTATGTAACTTGTGACATTTTATAATAAATGTCTCATTTCAGAACTATTTCATTGTAGAGATGCGGTTGGCCTCTTGGTAGGAGTTTGACTGGAAGGGCCTTTTATAGCTGCTGGTCCTCTCCAGTCATTAACTGCCTGCCATATCTTATTTGATGTTGGTGGACTGCAGGGGTGTCCATGTAGGGGGGCTGCAGGGGCATCCATATAGGGGGGCTTCAGGGTTATCCATGTAGGGGGGCTTAGGTAGGGGCCCGTGCAGGGACATTCGTATAGGAGGGCTGTCGGGGCATTTGTGTAGGAGGGCTACCAGGGTATCCTTGTAGGGGAGCTACTGTGATGTCTGGGTAAAAGGGCTACTATGTTCTCAATGTAGTGGTCTACTATGATGTCCATGTAGAAGGGCTACCACAGTATCTGTGTAGGGGGACTATTATGGTGTCAATGTAGGGGGGTTACTAGGGCACCCATTTAGGGGGACTACTATGGTGGCCAGGTAGGGGGATTACTTTGGTGTCTGTGTAGGAGGGCTACTGTGGTCCATGTAAGTCAATGTGGGACATAGTCATCAGTCTGCCCTCTGTAAGAGCTTTCATCCATCCTACCAAAGCAACTTTATCCCCTTCTGTACTCCATATGGGTTAATTAACTGCCATCAGGCTGTGTGTGGGTCAGCCAAAGGTGAAAGGTGTTCACCGTGCTCCCCTAACACCCTATGCACTACTGAAGTCATAGTAATAGTCCCGGTTCTTCCTGGGTATGGAGGCACACAAACCCTTCTCTGCCCTCCCAAGGTTCAGTACTCAGTACTTGCCAGTCAGAAAACATAGTACGGTTATCATAAGGACTGTCTTTGGGGTTTTCCTGTTCTGGTTGGTCATTGGTTTGTTTTTTTGTTTTTTTCATTCTTACCTTGTAGTTTGGCAGTGGCCGCCATTCCTGAAGGTCTGCCCATCGTTGTCACCGTAACGCTGGCGCTTGGCGTAATGAGGATGGCCAACAAGAGAGTCATTGTGAAGAAGCTGCCTATCGTAGAGACTCTAGGTAGTGTACGAGACCCATCAGAGCATGAACCAGATCATCCACAAGGAACATAGACAAGAGCCTAGGGCCCTTGTGAATGTCAAGAATGTCCAGATAAAACCTTCTTTAATATTAAGAAAAAATAATGTGTTGAGCTTGTGTAGATATCTGAGAATGAGTTTCTAGACCATAAGACCAGCAAACATCTTCCTGTTACTGCTGATGAGGACAAAGAATTTTGTCAGCAATCTGACTACTCACTGGTGCTGCTTGATTCCCTGTATATTCCCCACTATTTCCAGGCTGCTGTAACGTTATCTGCTCAGACAAGACCGGAACACTGACCGCCAATGAGATGACTGCCACCAAACTAGTCACATCCGATGGTTTACATGCAGAGGTGAGCTGTCTTTTATATTTTTTGTAGCCTTGCGAAAAAAGAAAAGTAAAATTCAGTGGAACCAAAACGGACAGGTCTGACTCCTAAGGTTTCCTATTTCATGTCTATAACCTCACAGTTCACATTCCAAACTCTATATTAATGGCCATGTAGAACCAGCTCTATATTAATGGCCATGGGGAGCCAACTCAATATAAATGACCATGTGGGCCCGACTCCAAATAAATGGCCAAGTTCAGGGCCAACTCTTTACATACTTGGCCATGTATACTTGAACCAACTTTATATAAATGGCCATGGGGGAAGGGGGTCAACTCCATATTAATGACCATGATTTTGGAGTAGAATGTCCAACAAACATATATCTATATATGTGATAGTCATGTGTCCATACTTTTGGGCTATATCATGTAAAAATAGATGATCAGAGGAGATGGGTTCTCTCCAATGATTAAAGGATATTTATGATAAATATGATCTCTGTATCATCATTAATCTTAGTCAGCTTCATCATTTTCATATAACTTTTCTATACAATAGACATCTTGTGTTTTTGGTAAATTGGTATTGTGGGGGAGATATTATACGAAGCACAGATTACTTTTTTGAGATCATTCCATAGAGCATAATGATAGCTGTATCCCAGGAGCCTCATTTAGCCTACAATGGTTGAACTAATTTATAGTTGAGAAGTTTGGACTGGATTTGTAGATTTTTCCATGTATCTCTCTCTCATCTCATTGGTGGTGCAATCTCTTCTGTTGACTGCTCAGGTAACCGGCATTGGTTATGACGAGAAGGGAACTGTGAACTTGCTGCCATCCAATGAAGAGTTGCGGGACTTCTCCAACATCTCTGTAGGAAAGTTAGTAGAGGTAAGGATTTTCCTCACTTCGAAAGATCCAAATCTACCACAGTTTGGGTAGTAATTAGAGCAGGTTGACACCTGTGTGGTGCACAGAAAAAGTAGCAGGATTTCCAGATGCACCTGACGAATGTCAACTTCATCTACTCAAACTCCATCCTGCCTTGCAGAAGCCATGATGAAGGGAGTGCCAGAGCCCATGGAATGTGTTGTCTGTTTACCATAAACTTGTTATGAATGAATAAAATATTTTTTTTGACTATATACCATTGGTCTGGTGCTCTTACGAGACATTTTACCCTGGGGACTTTTACTTAATTAGGGGGATTGGCCTAGAGCTCAGCTGAACTATTGAGATTCATATATTAGAAGGACCTTTTTAAATCGTAAAACATTGAAAGCAAAATCCAGCGCCTATCTCACATACCTTCCAGATTTTTACTGATGTATTTGTTCCCACCATTGAGATTTTGTCTCACTTCATGCCATGGAGACACAACAGGAAGAGGAGAGAAAGCCCCTTAAACATTTGTCACCTGAACATGTGCCCCCATCGGAGGATTTCCCCTGTATTCCTATTCTGGTGACAATTGTACAATTACTGATTCCCTATCAGTTCCTGATAATGGTGAATATGGAGGGTGAAGCTTCCCAGTGGAGACACAGCGATTAAACCAAGCAGAAATTCTAACCACATGTACAGGGTTGGTGTGAAGAGCATTAAAGTGTATGTAAATTCAGATTTTGCCCCTGAGGGTAGAAGTTTGATGTGGGAGGAGCTAAAGAGCCTTTTATCCAATTAGAGCATTGCTATGCTGGTCATCTGTGGGGTTCCCCTTGGGTGATGGTGAATGTATTGCCTGTATCAGACAAAGTCTGTATTCCAAGGTATTAATTCTCTTATTCTCAATAACAGGCTGGATGTGTCGCCAACAACGCCATCATTCGCAATGGCACCTTGATGGGACAGCCAACAGAGGGTGCCCTGCTTGTCTTGGCAATGAAGGTACCGCTTCAACTATAGCTGCCCTTATTCAGTTCACTTTGATATAGCTGCTGTCCCCTCTGGCTCTTGTAATTGGCTCTCTGCCTTTCCCGTAAGTCTGTGCAGACATCCAAGACATCCATAAGGTGCTGCTGCACGGTGTGTGTGACTGGCTTTGTCCTTAGAATCACTGCACATGGTGTTTTATGATTGGTTTACTTATTACATGTCCAAAGCCACTTAGAATTCAGCAAAATTACTAGACTGGCACAATATCTACGGAACACAAAGTGGGTGAGAATCTTGAAACAACTAGTTAAAATCTGGGATCAATGATCTACGGAACACAAATAATAGTGTGGCTGGTGACGCCTGAGGAATCCCTCTCTGAAAGTGGGGATGAATTTTGTTAAAATCTTTGAGGATCATTGATGTACAGCACAATATTAATAATAGACGTGGCTGGTGACGCCTCCTCCTGGAATCGCTCTGAATTGAAAACCGACCACCAAGTACTAGGTCCGGGGGCTCTCCCAACTTTTAAATGAGAGACATCCCCCCCCCCCCAGGAACAGGGGATCAGACCCACACCCTTTTTTCACCGTGAGAAAAAAAAAAAACACACATAAGTGAAAGTAAAAAAATAAATGAAAAAAAAAAGTCCAAAAAAGGTGTGCTTTAGCAGTTGCAGGCAGGGGTAACACCTCTTGGGTGGCGATGTCGGACACTGAGGTTTCCACCATTACCGCAAAAGGTCCTGAGAGGTTCCTTGAACATGACTGCCCAATTTTGTTAAAATTCACTCTGTCCATGGCTTGGTGCCCCAGATGAAGTAAAACACCACCCTGGTGATGGCCTTGCAGGTGTTGACCCGTGGGAGCCAGGCCTGGGCTCTCCGAAGGTACTGCAACACAGGGAGAATCTCGCTGCGGAGTACCAGTGTCTTCCCTTCGATGGTAAAAAAATAGTCCAGAGTCCATAATCCGTCACCAAACTTTTGGTTCATCTTTGAGGCAAAGAACACCCTCCCAGACTTCAGGGCTGCCCTTACCTCAGCACCAAACCAGACTCCCAAAATTTTGATGAAGTAAAACCGTACTGATGCTGAAAGGCATGGATGCAGAAGAAGGCAGGTACTGCAACCACTTTCCAAAGAGCATGACCTCTGACTTCCTGAAGTTGACTTTTGCCCTCTCCTCCCAAGCTTCAGGGCTGAAGTCCTCGCACCAAACCAGACTCCCAAAATTTTGATGCAAGTCCGTCGATGCTGAAAGGCATGGTGAGAAGAACAGAACACCGAGCATGACCTCTGTTCCTGAAGTTGACTAGAATTGAACACTTTTGAGCACTTCCTTCCTTCTGGCTCAGTGCAGTGATCCCCCTGATCTCTGGATTCCGTCTGATGCATTTGGTGAAGAGCTGTATACAGCAAACAAAAAGCAGCCTTGTGTGACCCCAGAGAGGATCGGAAGGGGTCAGTTTTCCAGGCATTCACCAACACTGTACTACAGATGTCATTGTACATAAGGTCAACATTCAAACAAAACATCTCCCCAAGACCAAACCTGAGCAGGGCTCTGCACATAAACCCATGAGAGACACAGTCAAGATTGACCAGGGCCACGTGCACACTGCGGTCCTTGATGAACTGGACAAGCGCTAGGCTGTCTGCAATCCTGCGGCCAAGAATGCCTCAAGTCTGATCCAGAGACAGCCTTCAGCCTATTGGCCAGAACCTTGGTGAGGATCTTGCAAGCCATGTTCAAGAGAGAGATGGGACATCACATAACCATAGCATGCAGAAACATTACCGAATAAACCAATTCAAATAAGCATGGGTGTGTGCTGGGGGGGTGTCTGCAATCCTGCGGCCAAGAATGCCACAAGTCTGATCCAGTGACAGCCTTCAGCCTATTGGCCAGAACCTTATCACATCCCTCCCCCTTATCATGATCATCCCTTCCCTCAACGAAGGAGGCATTCTGCCCTCCACCATCATCTTCTCGTACAGCTAGAGCAGTTCCGGGCCCACGAGATCCCACAGCGCTACGTAGAGTTCCGTTGCAGCCCGGGGTCCTTCCCTGCCTAAAGGATCTGGCAGCAGAGTGCAGCTCCTCCAACATCAAGGGAGCGTTGGTGGCCGAAAACCTGCAGGATCAATGACGTTAGTGATACTTGACAAGAATCTGTTGGCTGCTGATGTGCTTCTTTCTTTAGGAGATTAGAGGTCGGTGTAGTAGTCGCTGACCACCTGCATCACGGCTTCCTTCCCTTTCTGGAGCGTTCCGGTCTCGTGTAGCTCCGACAAAGGTGTGTGTCCTGAGTGGAGCTTTCTGAAAAAGAAAGAGTTACACTTCTCACCTTTCTCAAGATTCTCCACCTTGGCACAGAAGACGATGTTCCTGGATTCTTCCTCAAAGCCCACAAGTACACTGACCTTAACAAAAAAAGCCCCCCCTTTTTGTTTTTCTTTTCTTTACATTATTTTAATTTTTGTTTCACTTTAGGGAGAGTGTTCTGATTCGATTGCAAAGGACCATGGTCACACTAATTTGCATACCCCTTTCTGCTTGGCTCAGACCTCACTTTCAAGAAGTGTGGGATTAGTGAAATATATGCAAATTTGTCTGACACCCAGAAAACCCCTACTTTTTCCCAGATGCCCGCTCACTTTGTTGGATCAGACACAACGGATCACCCCTCCCGCCATCCTCCAGCTTCCACGAATAAGGATGATTTTTGACCATACTATTTTAACTTAGGGAGAGCATTTATTTATTTTTTTTTAAAGTCCACAGAAGTGCAAAAAAAGAAAAACCTGTAAGTGAACAAAAAACGTGCAAGTGCAAAACACCAACACAAAAAAGTGCACTTAGGGGTGTGCTTTAGCCCACCCCCTGAAGGGGAAGGACCTGATCCCTCAGGGCGCAAGGCTCTTGACAGGGACTGAGATCTCCACAAAGCCAAAAGGCCTGGCAGACCCCTTTCCTTGTGGGTAGCCAAAGCCAACCATCAAGTACTAGGTCAGGGGGCTCTCCCGGAGCCCCCCCCCCCCAGGAACACGGGAGAAAGGAACCAAAAGGCCACACATCCTCCCCCTAGACTTCTGGGCAGGTCCAAGGACCCACACCCTCCATCCGTGAGAAAACACACATAAGTGAAAGTGACTCAAATGTGGGAGAAAAAATAAATAAAAAAGTGGCAGTGCAATAGTGCACTGGGTAGGCCCTGAGGCCTGTAGCATAAAAATTGCCCTGGACTTTCCTGCCCTGGCAGTGCAGGAAAAGTGTTCCGCTCAGTTTTTTTTTTTAAGTCCGCAAACGTGCAACTATAACGAAAAAAAAAACCCATAAGTGTTCACAAAAACATGTGCAAGTGCAAAACACCACACGAAAAAGTGCACTTAGGGGTGTGTTTGCATATACCCCCGGAAGGGTTGAACTGTTACCCTGATCCCCCGGGGCACAGCTCCTGGGTGATGGTCCTCCTGGCCAAAAGGCCTGGTGGACCACCGTTCCTTATGCCCAGCCAAAGCCGGACATCCAGTACTAGGTAAGGGGGTTCTCCCGAAGAGAAAACCCCCTAGGGATCAGGGGAGGAAGGAACCGTAGGGCCACACCTCCTCCCCCTAGACTTCAGGTAAGGCCCGAGGACCCACACCCTCCATCCGTGAAAAACACACACATAAGAACAGAAAAAGTGACAAGACGTGGGAGTGGTTAAATTAAATAAATAGAAAATAAAAAAGTGGTACCGTGCCAAATAGTGCACAGACACAGGCCCTGAGGCCTGTAGCAAAGATTGCCCCGGACTTAGCAAAAGACCTGGTCCTTAGGGCGCTGTGCAAAAAGAAGTGAAAAACAGTGGCCATGTGTCATCTTCACACCGTGGGGTCCCACACCCAAGTGTTACTAGTGACACCCATGAGGCGACTACTCAGGGGGCACTGAGTTTGCGGACTTTTGCGTCCCCAGCCCCAGGCCAGACCAAGGTAGATCCGTCCAAATCAGGAGGTACTGGGTCCTTTCCAGTCTTCTCAGAGGAATTACTCCCGGGGCCCCAGCTTATACTCGTGGCGTCCCGGTTTCTGTCCCTCCGGTACTAGCCTTCCGGACCCCCATCATACCAGTGAGGGTACTATACAACAACCATCCCCGCAAAGCTAGAATGGTCGGGAGCACCCCCACTGGACACTGATAAGAACAGATACTACACTTGATCTTAGCCAAAAGGCCGAGAAGCGATTTTTAAGTGTTGTAAAGCCAAAACCTTTTTTTCTAGTTTTGGATATAGTGTTTCCGCTCGGTTTGTTGAATTGGACACACACTGATCCAATGGATCTCCCCTCCCATCCCATCCCATCATCCCCTGCTTCCATGAATAATGATGATTTTGGACCATACTATTTTAACTTAGGGAGAGCATTGTATCTAATTAGCATATTTGCTCTCTCCTTCACCCCGTCTCTCCCTCTTTCCCTGGAGAGCCCCCTGATCTAGTACTTGGTGGTCAGCTTTGGGTAGCCACAAGGAAAGGGGTACACAAGGTCTTTTGACTAGGTGGACCATGTTGACACTTGTAAACACATTTAGGCATATCAAGCGCTTGGATGCTAATTAAATTTACCAGAATAATAGTTTATACTGGCCATTGAAATTAATTGACTCCCAAACGCTAAACGCGCCTTAACACGTGTCAAGCGTTTTTTCTGCCAAAACGCTGGTGCTCTTGGACATGCTGCCAGTGGGGTTTTTTCTGCCTCTAAACTCCTCTAAGGCTAGGTTTGCACCCATGCAGGTTGCAGTTTTTTTCCCCGGTGCATTTTGTGGTGCGATTTGTGTTTGTTCACACGCATTTTTGATGCATTTTGTGTTTCTTGTTTTTTTGGATGTGTTAATGTTGCTAGGGGGATGTGTCTGTTGTAATGCAGGAAATGCACCAAAATGCATGTGTGTATTTTTCATGTTTTTTTTATGCGTTTCCATTGAAGTCTATTGCAATAAAAACACAATCTTCTGCAGGCAAAAAAGTCCCTGACCCTTTCCAAAAAATACAAGGTTGAAAACACCCAGATGTGAATGTGACCCATACGAAATTATGTTAAATGGACTGTAGTGTGTGTCTGCAAATCTGAAAACGCACTGAAATACGCATAGGTGTGAAACCTAGCCTGTGAGTACATGGTCACATTGGCCAACATGGAGGGACAGGAAAAAAAAAACTCCAGTTGTCGCTAACAGCAGCGCTAAAAATGTCCAGTGTGATTGAGACCTAAACTTTCTCCATCACTCCTGAACTTTGAAAACAAGACTGTCACTTTCACAAGAAGTCACCGCATTGTTTCACCTCTTCTATTGTCCTCTTTATGAGCCGGTGACGTCGGTTTGGCGAGGTACGTTGCAATCCTACACTTTGTCCTCTTGTGGTTAGTGTGTTTAAATAATACGAGAATCTTAACGCTGTGCAAACAACCGCTGTCATTCCTTCTGAGAACCGGTTGTCGACGCATGATGGATCTTTAGAACTGGTTTGTGCCCGGTGCGTCCTTGAGATGAACTTGCCCCGTGGAGGGCGGAGCTTCTGTCTGAGCCAGAATGAAGACACTTAGACAGTACATATGGTCAGATGGGGGTCATTCTATACGTGTTATAGAGAATTCTTCCACTAAAATCTTTTCCCTGTACAGTGCTTTGGTATATGTCAGAGCTATATACTGTAAATATATATTAACAGTGTGTGACTGGGGGGGGCACTAGAGTGTATGATGTCACTGGCTCAGTGTTCACTGTACAGCACTACAGTATATGTCAGAGCTATGTAAATGTATAATACTAGTGTGTGACTGGGTGGGGGATTAGATTGTAAGCTCCTGTGGTGCAGAGACTGATGTGCCTGGCTCAGTGTTCTCTGTACAGCACTACGGAATATGTCAGAACTATATAAATGTATAATACTAGTGTGTGACTGGGGGGGCATTAGAGTGTAAGCTCCTGTGGTGCAGAGACTGATGTGACTGGCTCAGTGTTCTCTGTACAGCACTACAGTATATGTCAGAGCTATGTAAATGTATAATACTAGTGTGTGACTGGGGGGGGGACATTAGATTGTAAGCTCCTCTAGTGCAGAGACTGATGTGACTGGCTCAGTGTTCTCCGTACAGCTTTCTGGTATATGTCAGAGCTATATAAATGTATAAAAATAGTGTGTGACTGTGGGGGGGGGGGGGGCATTAGAGTGTAAGCTTCTTTGGTGCAGGTAATGATGTCACTGGCTCAGTGTTCTCTGTACAGCAGTACAATATATGTCAGAGCTATATAAATGTATAATAATAGTGTGCAACTGTGGGGGGACATTAGAGTGTAAGCTCCTCTGGCACAGAGACTGATATGTCTCCTAGATTGTAAGCTCCCAGGATGAGGCCCTCCTTTTCTCTTGTATTGAACTGTATTGTTGCTGTATTGTCTCCTGTTATATTGTAAAGCTGAGCAAACTGTTGGCACTATATAAATCCTGTATAATAATAATAATAATATGACTGGTTTAGTGTTCTCTGTACAGCACTATGGTATATGTCAGAGCTATATAAATGTATAGTAATAGTGTGCGACTGTAGGGGGACATTTAGAGTGTAAGCTCCTCTGGCACAGAGGCTGATATGACTGGGTCAGTGTTCCTTGTACAGCGCTGCAGTATATGCCAGAGATATATAAATGTATAATAATAGGTGTGTGACTGTGTGGGGGGACATTAGAGTGTAAGCTCCTCTGGTAAAGAGTTTATATCGAGTAATGATAATTTCTTCCTGTAGATGAGTATGGGGAATTGCAGAGAGAATTACATTCGGAAGAAGGAAATTCCATTCAGTTCAGAGCAGAGGTGGATGGCGGTGAAATGTGTGGACAAACTCGAGGTAAGGCTCTGCCCAGATTGCCCCCCCCATATGTACAGATCTGTCTCCAATCCTCTTTTGGTTTGTCATTTTGGATGATTTTTCTTCTTCCCCCATAGAATCAGGAGGACGTATACTTCATGAAGGGGGCCTTTGAGGAGGTGATTCAGTACTGTACAACGTATAACAGCGGCGGGATGACAATGGCGCTCACACCGCAGCAGAAATCACTCTACCTTCAGGAGGAGAAGAACATGGGAAGCCAGGGGCTGAGAGGTGACTGTGCTTGGGTGCCTTATTAGACAATCAGTCAAAATCTCTCCTCTCACATATGATTGGGGGGGACTGCAGCTTCTTGTCAAATGACTGTGCCATGTAACCTCCTTGTCATGCTCTGCGGGGTGGGGGGTTCTACAGTGCTCTCAGGGGGCGGAGCTGGGAACACAAAGGCTGCATTTACACAGGTTCAGTGTCAGGACCTATGAGCAGATCAGGGGATTGGCAACCCCAGGGATTGTCCAGCTAGGTACAGCCAGGTGCAGCAGGTTAACGTCCTGGCTTCAGTATTCGAAGTCACTGAAGTGAATGAGGATCTCTGACTTGTATATGTGTGTCCAGGTTTTTTTTTTTTTTAGGAATTCATCTTTCATTGGTCTGATGACCAAAAAAAATTCTGATTGGTTGCTGTGGAATATTACTGCATTAACATATTGAATGATCCTGGTCATGTGGCACTATATTTGTGCCATGAAATAGAAACTGAGGGGGGCCATGGTGGATGGAATGTGCAGGCATGTGTCAGGGGGCGGGGCAGTGACCACACTGAAAAGTCGCAGGCTTGAATAACGGTGTCACTACAGACAGGGACTTGTACAAACTCAATAAATTAATGGGGGATTTGTCTCCTCCTCTACAGTGCTGGCGCTGGCCTCTGGACCTGAGTTGGGGATGCTGATGTTCCTGGGGCTGATCGGAATTATTGACCCCCCAAGAAGTGGGGTGAGCGACGCGGTACAGATCCTGCTGGAGTCTGGGGTGTCCGTCAAGATGATCACTGGAGATGCGCTGGAGACGGCTCAGGCTATCGGTGAGGGAAAGCCATGCACGCCGTGGCTTATAACTGTCATTGTAATAAAGAGGGCGGAGCAAGGGATGGGTTTTCCCTCCATATGATGAGTGAGAATTGTATCATTTATGGAACCAAACTGTGTGCAAATCATAAAGATCCGGAACATTCACTGATGAGCAATTTGTTTTCTGATAATCCCAAACTTCTTTATTATACAGATTCATAGAGCCGGAAACTGCTAGATTCTTGGCTGTTATGCTGATCCTCTGGCTTCAGTACTTTAAGAGTGTGCGTAATTTACTCTGACCTCCCTTATCTTCATGTGTGTTCCAGTTCAGAGACACAAGGTGTTGGAGTCAGAGGATCAGAATGACAGGCAGACATCTAAGGACATGTCAGAAATGGCAGCATCCATGACAGGTGCTCTTTGATCTGCTGGTTGTGGAAGATCTTACTGTTGGAATCAGCATCCTGTTCACCGTATTGCACTCAACATCACTTCAATACCATGGTGTCAGGAAAAAAAAGGCATTCCCATCCTAAGGCCTCACCCCACTACTGCCATCTTAAGGCATCTCCCCGCTATTACCACCCTGAGGCTTCACTACACTTATGCCATCCTAAGGCTTCTCCCCAGTATAGCCGTTTTAAGGCTTTGCATATTATTTCCATCCAAACGTTCCATCTCACCATTGCAGTTCTAAGGCTTGAATCCATTATTGCCATCCTAAGGCTTTGCACCACGTTTGTCACCCAAAATCTTCACCTCACTATTGCCATCCTAAGGCTTCACCCCAATATTGTCCTTTTAAGGCTTTGCCCACTATTTCCATCCTAATGTTCCATCTCACTATTGCCATCCTTCGCCTTTTACTCACTATTGCCATCCTAGTAGGAGTACAGACCTGGGAACTCAACAGAGAGATGGTGGGAACCCCTCATAATGGGCACAACAGGTGTACAGACCCGGGAATTCAGCACAGGGATGGTGGGAACCCCTCATAATGGGCACAGCAGGTGTATAGACCCGAGAATTCTGCACAGAGATGGTGGGGACCCCTCATAATGGGCACAGCAGGTGTACAGACCCGGGAACTCGGCACAGGGATGGTGGGAACACCTCATAATGGGCACAGCAGGTGTACAGACCCGGGAACTCAGCACAGGTATAGTGGGAACCCCTCATAATGGGCATAGCAGGTGTACAGACCCGGGAACTCGGCACAGGGATGGTGGGAACACCTCATAATGGGCACAGCAGGTGTACAGACCCGGGAACTCAGCACAGGTATAGTGGGAACCCCTCATAATGGGCACAGCAGGTGTACAGACCCGGGAACTCGGCACAGGGATGGTGGAAACACCTCATAATGGGCACAGTAGGTGTACAGACCCGGGAACTCGGCACAGGGATGGTGGGAACCCCTCATAATGGGCACAGCAGGTGTATAGACTCGAGAATTCAGCACAGAGATGGTGGGAACCCCTCATATTGGGCACAGCAGGTGTACAGACCCGGGAATTCAGCACAGAGATGGTGGGGACCCCTCATAATGGGCACAGCAGGTGTACAGACCCGGGAACTCAGCACAGGGATGGTGGGAACCCCTCATAATGGGCACAGCAGGTGTATAGACCCGAGAATTCAGCACAGAGATGGTGGGGACCCCTCATAATGGGCACAGCAGGTGTAGAGACCCGGGAACTCAGCACAGGGATGGTGAGAACCCATCATAATGGGCACAGCAGGTGTACAGACCTGGGAACTTGGCACAGGGATGGTGGGAACCCCTCATAATGGGCACAGCAGGTGTACAGACCCGGGAACCCAGCACAGGGATGGTGGGAACCCCTCATAATGGGCACAGCAGGTGTCCAGACCCGGGATCCCAGCACAGTGATGGTGGCAACCCCTCATAATGGGCACAGCAGGTGTACAGACCCGGGAACTCAGCACTGGAATGGTGGGAAACCTTCATAATGGGCACAGCAGGTGTCCAGACCCGGGAACCCAGCACAGGGATGGTGGGAGCCCCTCATAATGGGCACAGCAGGTGTCCAGACCCGGGATCCCAGCACAGTGAAGGTGGCAACCCCTCATAATGGGCACAGCAGGTGTACAGACCTGGGAACTTGGCACAGGGATGGTGGGAACCCATCATAATGGGCACAGCAGGTGTACAGACCCAGTAACCCAGTACAGGGATGGTGGGAACCCCTCATAATAGGCACTGGGCAGTGGTATTCAACATTAGAGTCCCTAAGAGATGTAATTGGAACTTTAACTCTCTAGCAAACATTGAAATCTCTGTTCTGGGCGGAGTGACCTTTTTGGACTTTTTTCTTTTTGTTATCAGATGTTTCTCTAACATTTCGGCACTTTTCCAGGAAGAAGTATCGGTCTATCTAATGGGCATCTTAAAGCCATTTCGGGGGAGGAGTTGGATGGATTAGATGAAGGGTCCTTGTCCTCTGTGGTCACCAAGGTCTGTGTGACATCCTTGACTGTCTCAGGTTTATTTGACCATTTTACATCCTGTAGATAACGGCGCTGTTTGTCTTCTCAGGTCTCCGTCTTCTACCGCACCAGCCCGAAGCACAAACTGAAGATTATCAAGGTAACCATGTCTCCTACGGATCTGTTATCTTGTTTTAGTTTAGCTGTAGATATAGAATTACAAAACTATAAATACTGATTATAGAAAAACAATACAATTATTTATATGTATACAAACATTAACATTATAACATTATTTAACCTCTTCACGCCAGCCGCACACAAATGTGGGGTCTCCCAGCGTCTGGGCCTAGACGCCGAGCAGCCGCACATTTGCATGCAATTAACAAAAAACATATGTGCTGAGAGCGCGCACCCTGCATGCTCCCAGCACACATGTCCGGTACTCAAGGAAAGGTCCCAGTCTGCTCTTTTGATTGGGACCTTTCCCGATCATGAGACCGCCGTGATGACGCGTCACGGAGGTCATAGGATCCCTAAACCCCGCCTCCCGGTTTCTGAAACTCTTTAAGGGCCAGGAGGCACCAGTGGGAATGGGTTAATAAATACTTTCTGCTTTTATCATATGCCTTATTTTAGAACCGGTGATGCCATTACTGGGTCTGTGTGCTTATCTATGCAGTACAGGCAACTCAAGGCTGGTGGAAGGGGCCATCAGGGTGCTGTACATTCTGAAACATCACAGCACCCCGCCTGTCTGCTTCTCTCAAGAGCCCTCAGTCATAATGCAAGCAGTGGGTGGGGCCTTGGGAGGAGCTATGCAAATATCAAAATGGCAAAATGGGTGGGTGCAGTGTGGAGGAGTGTGTGTTTTTAGGCAGACTTGTATTTGCATAGGTAACGCCCACATGTGATGCTGAGCCTCCATGATTGAAAGAACTAAAATCCAATGAATGAAAGGGGCGGGCCAGGGCCAGACAGGCTGGGGAAGAAAGTGCTGGATGATGCTGGACGTCCTCCAACCAGGACATGAGGAGTGCTCTACCTGACTTGCTGCTGCAGCTTCTAATGCACATTGTGAGAAGCTCACAGTGTGCAGTGAAATCAGAGTAAGCCATTACAGTCCAGGAGAGGAGCCGGTACAACTGTGCAAGACGGAAGGGAAGGAAGTTAGAATTCCATCTCCTCTGCCCCCCCCCCCCCCCCCCCTTCCCCAACAGGTTACATCTCTGCTGGGGAGATTTCCTTCACTTCCTGTGTGGTCACCAGGACAGGAATGAGGAGAGATCCCTCCTTTGTTGTCCCTATTTTGAGATTTCCAGGTGGCCTCAGTTTCGGTGACAACTGTTACAATGTAGATAATTCATGGCTCTCCTGCCCGTCTCACATCTGCAGAGGCATGGCCACACACAAGTCCCAATTGATTCCATTTGTCCACACGTGTCTGACTGTTAATATTGCTCCTCCTCCTTGGATTGATATTAGTTGCATATTGAACATTCTATCTGTTGCCGGTTTCCTGAGTCTCTATATGCTGTATGTATGTCAAGGCTCTGCAGCGCACAGGCGCCATTGTCGGAATGACGGGAGATGGTGTAAATGACGCGGTGGCTCTAAAGTCAGCCGACATCGGCGTGGCAATGGGGAAGACCGGAACAGATGTCAGTAAAGAGGCTGCAGATATGATCCTGGTTGATGATGATTTTTCCACAATTATGTAAGTAAATGAAATCATCTGCAGAGTATGTCAGCATGTATCTGTCAGTGGGACTGAGCAATGTTCTGCAGATCTCCAGGGAGGTCAATGATGCGATCATCTGCAGAATATATCAATATGTATCTGTCAGGAAGGGGGTGAGATGGAGCAATATTCTGCAGAACTCTTAAGAGGTCTGTGATGGAATAATCTGCAGAATATATCGATATGTATATGTCAGGAGGGTGTTGGAATGGAGTGATGTTCTGCAGACCTCTAGAGAGGTCAGTTATGAAATAATCTGCAGCATATATAGTCGTATGTGATAGTCAGGAGGGAGATGGGATGCACCGATGTTCTGCAATCTCTCTTGTATCTGTCAGGAAAGGAATGAGATAGAGCAATGTTCTGTAGAACTCTAAAGAGATCAGCATATATAGAAGTATGTGTCAGGAGGGAGATGGGACATACCAATGTTCTGCAAATCTCTCCAGTATCTGTCAGGAGGGGAATGAGATGCAATGTTCTGCAGATCTCTAGAGAGGTCAGTTATGAAATAATCTGCAGCATATATAGTAGTATATGTCAGTTAGGAGGGAGATGGGATGCACCGATGTTCTCCAGATCTCTCCAGTTTCTCTCAGGAGGGGAATAAGATGGAGCAATGTTCTTCAGAACTCTAAAGAGGTCAGTGATGGAATAATCCACAGAATATATCAATATGTATCTGTTGAGTGGGTGATGAGATGGAGCGATGTTCTGCAGACCCTTGAGAGGTCTGCATATATAGTAGTATGTGTCAGGAGGGAGATGGGACAGATCAATGTTCTGCAGATCACTCCAGTATCTGCCAGGAGAGGAATAAGATGGAGCAATGTTCTGCAGAAATCTAGAGAGGTCAGTGATAGGATAGTGTGCAGAATATATGTACAGTATATGTCAGGAGGGGGATCAAATGGAGTGATGTTCTGCTGATCTCTAGAGAGGTCACTTATGAAATAATCTGCAAAATCTATCATATGTATCTGTCATGTCTGAGATGAGATGGAGCAATGTTCTGCAGATCTCTAGAGGTCAGTGATGGAATATTCTGCAGCATATATAATATGTGTCAGTCAGAAGGGAGATGAGATAGATTGATGTTCTGCAGTTCTCTCCCGTATCCGTCAGGAAGAGAATGAGATGGAGCAATGTTCTGCAAACCTCTAGAGAGGTCAGTGATGGAGTAATCTGCAGAATATATCAATATATGTGAGAGGTCAGCATATATAGTAGTTGTCAGAAGGGCGATAGGACAGATCAATGTTCTGCAGCTCTCTCCAGTATCTTCCAGGAGGGGAATGAGTTGGAGCAATGTTCTGCAGATCTCTAGAGAGGAAAGTGATGGAATCTGCAGAATACATCAATATGCATCTGTCAGGGGGGAGATGGGATGGCAAAATGCTCTGCAGATCTCTCCAGAGGTCAGTGTAGCATATATAGTAATATGTGTCAGCCAGAGTGTAGATGGGACGGAGCAACGTTCTGCAGATCTGAGAGAAGAGTCAATATTGGTACAGAGTAGAGTACAAGCGGTGAATATTATGTTCGGTTCACATCTCTTGCTGGCGGTCTGTTTGCTCTTCGGCGGGGGATCATACGGTTATCTGGTGGTACAGAGAACACTTCGTCTCATTACACAACACTAATGTCCCGGAACGGATATGTACTGCGGGTTAATTGAGTGTAATGCAGGATAGCCCCCCCGCCCCCGCACAGCACCTGTCCGCTGTGCACACTCACCTGACTTCTACATGAAGTGCTTCCTGTGTACACAGATCATCAGTGCAGGCATCGCCTCCTCATTAAATATAATGACTTATAGACTTCAGTCATCCCTGTCCTCTGGTGTCACTTAGTGCGGACAGGAATGTGGTGACCGCTGTCATAGGTCATACACAGGCAACACCCTGGAGGGGGAAAGTAATGAGAAATCTGTTCATTCTGCGGAACTTATTTGGATTGAACTGGCATAGTGAGATCTGACGGTGTCGTATTTCTCATCAAATCTGGATTAAAGCCATGATCTGTGAAGAAGAAAGGTGATCCTTTTGTTCCCTCCAAACCCAACACCTAAAATTCAAGGAGATTATACATTTATGACTCTACCTACTAAGTCAACAACTCCCGTGTGCACTTTCCAAACTCTACCCACTAAGTCCATCCTCCCTGTGTGCACCCTTCAAACTCCACCAACTAAGTCCATCATCCCTATGTGCACCCTCCAAACTCTGCCCACTAAATCTATCCTTCCTGTGTGCACTCTCCAAACCAGGGGCGGACTGACAACTCATGGGGCCCCTGGGCAATAGGGGATCATGGGGCCCCTGTGATATTAAACCCAAAACACTAAGTCAACAACTCCCGTGTGCACTTTCCAAACTCTACCCACTAAGTCCATCCTCCCTGTGTGCACCCTTCAAACTCCACCAACTAAGTCCATCATCCCTATGTGCACCCTCCAAACTCTGCCCACTAAATCCATCCTTCCTGTGTGCACTCTCCAAACCAGGGGCGGACTGACAACTCATGGGACCCCTGGGCAATAGGGGATCATGGGGCCCCTGTGTACTTGCCAAAACTCAAAAAAGCCTATGAAAAAGGTACCAAGGGCATCTCATGGGGCCCCCTACTGACCCTGGGCCCTCGGGCAGTGCCCAAGTTTCCAAATGGTCAGTCCGCCCCTGCTCCAAACTTCACCCACTAAGTCCATCCTCCCGGTGTTCACCCTCCAAACTCCACCCACTAAGTCAATAATTCCTGTGTGTACCCTCCAAACTCCACCCATGTAGTTCATCCTCCCTGTGTACACCCTTCAAACTCCACCAACTAAGTCCATCCTCCCTATGTGCACCCAAGAAACTCTGCCCACTAAATCTATCCTTCCTGTGTGCACTCTCCAAACTTCACCCACTAAGTCAATAATTCCTGTGTGCACCCTCCAAACTCCACCCATGTAGTTCATCCTCCCTGTGTACACCCTTCAAACTCCACCAACTAAGTCCATCCTCCCTATGTGCACCCAACAAACTCTGCCCACTAAATCTATCCTTCCTGTGTGCACTCTCCAAACTTCACCCACTAACTCCACCCACTAAGTCCATCCTCCCTGTGTGCACCCTCCAAACTCCACCCACTAAGTCAATAATTCCTGTGTGACCCCTCCAAACTCCACCCACTTAGTTCATCCTCCCTGTGTGCACCCTCCAAACTCCACCCGCCAAGTCCATCCTTCCTGTGTACACCCTACAAACTCTCCACCCACCAAGTCCATCCTTCCTGTGCACACCCTACAAACTCCACCCACAAAGTCCATCCTTCCTGTGCACACCCTACAAACTCCACCCACCAAGTCAATCCTCCCTGTGTACACCCTCCAACCTCGTACTCATGAAGTCCATCCTCCCTGTGTACAAACACCAAATCCCACCCACCAAGTCTACCCTCCCTGTCTGCAGTTCAAACTCCACCCGCCAAGTCTATCCTCCCTGTGTGCACTCTCCAAACTCCCACCATGAAGTCCATCCTTCCTGCATGCACCCTCCAGACTGGCATTTAAAGTCCTGTGTCACCTGTCTATGGCAGGATTCACAGATGGAAGACAAGACAGAGAGGAGAACAGAGCGAGGTGTTCTGTGTTGTCCCAGTTGAAGCTCCTCCTGTTATCTTGTTGGTGATTTGGTATCGGTTTGTCTCATTGCAGGAACGCCATAGAAGAAGGGAAAGGAATATTCCACAACATCAAAAACTTTGTCCGCTTCCAGCTGAGCACGTAAGTGCCACCTTTACTGCTCCCGATTGTTTATCTGAATTCCTTAGGCGGTATCAGTAGAGCTGACAACTCGTTGGGGCAGCCGAAAAATAAATATGAAAGGAATAAAAATTATTTTAGGCAATTTGATAAAAGTGATGTGTAAGAAGTGACAGGTCCTCTTTATGCACAACAAATCATCTGAACGTTCAGTATTCTCATACAGAAAGCCGTGGCAGAGTCATTAAGGGATCCATTTATAAGAAATTCGTTGGAGGGATGTAACAAGCATTCACCCATCTGTCTGTATTTTCATTGGTTTTTAGCGCTATCTAGTGGATATAATGTGGTATTTGTTTTCTGAAAGCCCTCAATCAGAAAAAAGACTGCATTATGGCCACTAGATGGCGCTGACAATCACAGGAAATCACTGTAGTAAGAAAAATACAAGCAGGATTCGACAAGGATGGGAAAATGATTGTCATATTCGTCCAACAAATTTTCTATAAATAGACCCTTATGTGTGATCATTCCCTTACAATATGGCTTGCTTTTGGCTTGTCCTGTTAGTGATTTTCTCACAACAGCTTTCCAGCAAAAATGCTGATTGCACTACCTGGTATTCAGAGGATCGATAAGTCTGTGTTTGAAATTGTGAGAAATGTGATGAAGCCAGTATTTATGCATTCTATCCTATTGAATCTCTCTCCAGGAGCATCTCGGCACTCAGTCTGATCACTTTATCGACCATCATGAACCTGCCAAATCCCCTCAATGCCATGCAGATCCTTTGGATTAATATAATTATGGACGGACCTCCAGCACAGAGGTATCACACATCGAGGACACGTGCGCAAACATTTCCTGCACCACTCTCATTCATCGTCATTCACTTCTAGGAGTCAGACTCTTCACCTTGAGAGTAGCTTGTCAGACCTCACCTGAAGTCCGATAGTTGCTGGAGCGCATAGTCACCTGCAGGGGCGGACTGACGACTCATGGGGCCCCCGGGCAATAGGGGACCATGGGGCCCCTGTGTCCTTGCCCAAACTCAAAAAAGCCTATGAAAAAGGTACCAGGGGCATCTCATGGGGCCCCCTACTGACCCCAGGCCCTCGGGCAGTGCCCGAGTTTCCAAATGGTCCGTCTGCCCCTGGTCACCTGGCTCCTTGGTGAGCAGAACAGTGTTAGTGTGTCTCTAGACAAAACTGTATTCTTCTTCTTAAATTTTGGAGTAGAGGAGGAATAGAACCCCCATCAGGTTTTTATTACTGGAATACAGAATGTATAAATCAGACAGTAGATACAATTAGTATTTCATGGTTGAGGTAAGTCAGGTGGATTCATATAGGGTACAGAGCTCTGGTGGAGTCATTCTTGAACATAACCAGACAATTCCTCAAAGTGATATTAAACCCAAAACCGGAAATGTAATATATTGCAGCTTACCAATCATTAGATGTGGCAGCTGCATTAGTTTTCTTTTTTTAGGCTTTTTTCCCTGTGTAATCACCTGGTGATCTGGCCAGTAACACGCCTCCTGTATTAGAGCCCCCCCACTCTGGATGAAGCAGCACAGCAGACAGCAGCATTATCAGTTTGGGGGGGGGGGGTGAGCTGGGTGTTAGATGTACTGACAGATTTAGATACACTAAAAAACTGAAGCCAAACTCTGGCTAATACATTATAAAGCAGATACAGCTAACAGTTTTTCTCTCTTGGAATAAAGGTTTTACATAAATGAAAGCTGATCATTGTAAGTACCCCTGTCAGTGTTAAATGTTTTGTCCCATCTGTAATTGATACATTCAGCTGGAGAGCTTGTTCTTTTGAACAACAACAGACTTACTGGCTGGATCACCAGGTGAAAATAGAAGAAAGAAAGCCTAAAAAAGAAAATGAATGCAGCCATCACATCTAAGAAAGTGTAAGCTGCAATGTAATGTGTAGATTTGGGTTTAATACTCTTTTAAAGAAGTATTTCAGGTATGGATTTTTTTACATAGTTGCATTGTTAGAAAGATAACTATGTACAGTATATAAGTGAAGGGATGGACGCTGCTCAACCGACCCCAGGAGTCCAATGTTAAGAAATGGCCTCAGCCACCGTTTCGGCCTGGTGGGCTGACACTGGAATTGCTCGGACTCATGCTCCCCTCTTCTCACTTGCCGGTGGGGTGATCTTTTTCCTTCCATCCACAGCTTGGAGCAGCACCATAAGATATGCTTTTCACTATGTACAGTATTTATCATACCACAATGATGCCCCTGGAAGCTGTAAATCACTGAAGTAGACACCACTACTACACCACAACTATGCTGCTACTACACTGATATTCTAGTAATCTCCACTAGCTTCCAGGTACTGTGCGGAGCAGCTGCTCTGCTGCATTGTGAACACAGGAGGTTGGCCGCTCAACATAGGCACTATTCAGAGAACGTGCCATTCAGAGAGAGCCTTCTCTGGTTGGATGAGGTGGCAAGGCGGGATGGTGATGTGATGCTCTCTCCACCTCATCCAGCCATAAAGCGCTTTGCATTCATTCAGAAAATGCTTTACATTTTCTGAATGAACGCAAAGCATTCTTTGGTTGGATGAGGTGGAAAGCATGATGTCATCACCACCCCGCCTCACTGCCTCATCCAATCAGAGAACGCATTACATTCATTTGGAGAATGCAAAGTGTTTTTTTGAACAGTGCCTGTGTCAAGCAGCTGACCTCCTGTAATCACAATGCAGCAAGGCAGCCACTCAGCACAGGAGCAAGAAGGTAGTGGAGATCATTGTACTAGCGACGTTTCTTTTTGGTGATTTCCAGTTTTTGGAGGAATCTCTAAAGGATGTACGATACTGTACATAGTTACACTGGTCCAAGCTGGAACAATGTAGCGATGTATAAAATTTCCATACGTGGAATTCTTCTTTAATAGTAAGTCAGGATTTTAGATCCACTAGAGTGCCCACTGAAGATCAGTCCAAAACGTTTCTTACTGATTAACAAGAAAATCTAAAAGTAGGCGACACCTTCCAGGGGGCTCAAAGATCTCCTCCACATTCAGGGCTACAAGACAGACAAAAATGTATATTGATTTACATATAAATTTATAGAGAGATAAAGAAACCTAAAAACAGTTAAATTCATTATATCCGAAATGTCAGGAAATTACAGCCAATTATGAAACTTGGAGATCCATAAATGACATAATGGGAGCAGATTTCATTAGACAGAAGAGAAGATTTTTTAAAAATCAGTTTTGATAACAAAACATCATAAATAAAAATGGAAAAAACTAAAGACCGTATCTCATCAAGATTACATTACATAATACACCAAAAAAGACTTGTTTGTGGCAGATTTTCAGTAGCTGTCTGCTCTATTGTAGTATTTGATGACACCGTTTGGTTCCAGTTTGTGTGGGAGATTTGCTAAGAATGGAGCACTCAGAATCTGGTGCAGTTGTGCATGGTAACCAATCTATAAAGCACAGTTCTTTAAGCGTTAGTAAACCGCATCAAAAAGAAGAAAAAGAAAAAAACACCCCCTGCATGGTAAAGGCATAATGTGCTAGTACTATATGCATTGCATACTAGCACCTTAGAAAGGACTTACCTTGAAACAAAGCCCTCCAGTGGAGTGCTGTCACTGCTCCCCAGGGCTTCCATCTTCATCTGGTCTTGCTTACAGGTTTGCGAGCTCTGGCCAGCTGACTGGCTGAGACGCAATGACGTCACTCCCGCGTATACGTGCAGGAGTCCCAGGCCACAGCACAGTGCTCTGAAGGAACAGAACAGGTATACCAATCCTTCAGAGCGCATGTGCCACCTATCCGAAGGGGCTAATATTTATTTTACCTATAGGTAAGCTTTATTATAAGCTGAGGACACTGAATTATAGGGATTGTGATATAAAGTAGGAGAGGGCTGAAAAAAAAAAAATGCGGTTTGGACCTCTGTTGGAAGAAAATCTTACTGGTCGGACCTCTATGAATTTTATTTCAGTATCCCTGGTATAGTGTATGGTACGCTTATGTGATATTATGCCAAACATAAACATTCCCTCTAATCGGTATTAAATCGGGCACTCCCATGCAGGGGCGGACTGAAAACTCATGGGGCCCCCGGGCAATAGGGGATCATGGGGCCCCTGTGTCCTTGCCCAAACTAAAAAAAGCCTATGAAAAAGGTACCAGGGGCATCTCATGGGGCCCCCTACTGACCCCCCGGGCCCTCGGGCAATGCCCGAGTTTCCAAATGGTCAGTCCGCCACAGTAGATCTAAACGTGACCATAAACTATACAATCTGATTTTCCAGTCTGCTTTAGATCTAGCATCTGCTACGTAATGTAAAGATCTACTTGATTTGATTCAAATGAAATTATTTGTTAAGGTTTGTTACCATGTTTCAAAGTTTTTGGTAAGCTTGAAAGAGATTGTACAGAGATTGTATAGTTCACCCAAGACTGATTATCGAGGAGCTCAGTTGTGACCAGGGGCGGACTGACAACTCATGGGGCCCCTCAGGCAATAGGGGATCATGGGGCCCCTGTGTCCTTACCCAAACTCAAAAAAGCCTATGAAAAAGGTACCAGGGGCATCTCATGGGGCCATAGTAAAAGATAAATTTAGAGGTTCAAATATAAATTACTGTATCACCCAATATATGGCTTCCATCCAGTAGCCAAAAAACATGCAGACCAAAAAAGAGATTTGTGAAAAGAGATTCACAGGAAAGCGGCTACATTATGGACAAAATGCGATACTCAGAAAAATTTCCAAAAATTATGCTTTATTACACATTAATGATTGACACTCGGGCAATCGCCCTGGTTTACCATCACCTCAGTATGAGACAATACACACAGACCTAAAACCATTAAAATCACACCAAGACCGGTCTAGATATATGTGCTGCAAAGGCTATGACCACCATAGTCTAGAGCATTTGCAGCACCTGCACATTGGTTACACTCCCTGTAGGAGGTGTATTCAAAAAATTATACCATGGGTATATAATATCACATGCTATATATATAAGCACATATAGTTACCATATAGGTTACACTCCCTGAAGGAGGTGTTTTTCAAAAAAATTGTACCATAGGTATATAATATCACATGCGAGCAAAAAAAAACCCAGGGCGATTGCCCGAGTGTCAATCATTAATGTGTAATAAAGCATAATTTTTGGAAATTTTTTTTCTGAGTATCGCATTCTGTTCATAATGTAGCCGCTTTCCTGTGAATCTCTTTTCACAAATCTCTTTTTTGGTCTGCATCTCAAGGGGCCCCCTACTGACCCCGGGCCCTTGGGCAGTGTCTGAGTTTCCAAATGCTCAGTCCACCCCTGGTTGTGACTCCTCTTCTTTTAAATTTGGATACTGAAGCACGAGGACACTATAAACATCCCAAATCTCCTGTTCTGATCCAGTGTTTACTGTCAGCTAATAAAGAACAACAGGTCCCAGCCAGCTGTTGGCAGACAATTCATGCTGAGCCTTGTAGTTCCCCATCCTCCATCTTTCCTCATATCTCCGTCTCTGTCTGTGCAGTTTGGGGGTGGAGCCGGTCGATAAGGACGCCATCAAGCAGCCTCCACGGAACGCCAAGGAATCCATTCTCAGTAAGACCTTACTGCTAAAGATCCTGCTGTCGGCGGCCATCATCATCAGTGGGACGCTGTTCGTCTTCTGGAAGGAGGTCAGGAATGCTGATGGGGAGGGGGGGGGGGGGGACAGGATCCCACAGAACACAGAGGATCATGAATGGCAAATAGGAGGTGGAGAGCAATTAGGACTAAGTGACTTAATTCCTGGCATGAGAAGGGAGATTCCGCCACTCGCCTTGTGAACTCATTAGATCCATTACGTGTTACAAATTAAATTATGTGCAGAGAGGGAGAAGAGAGTGAGCATGGCAGGGGACCGGTGCGATCCGCGTCTCTTCCAGAAAGTTCCGCCATCTCCATCTGTTTTCTGTATCCTTAGAACTATGGCAGTTTTTGTTCTGCTTTTTGAAGGATCTCATTAGGATTCATCTGCCCCTGTGTGTTTTCATTGTGTGTGGAGCTGTGGCCAAAAAAAAAAACGAAATACGGAGACATGAACTGTTGTCATTCATCATATCAGATTCTCCCCATCCCCACACACTTTCAGCATATCCCCCATAAACTGGGGAAAAATACTGCCATACACTGTGGTGGAGCCCTGCCAAACACTGGAGGGAGAACCCCCATACACTGGAGGGAAACCCTGCCATACAATAGGGTAGTAGAGCACCCTTATTTACTGGATCACTACCATACACTAGGTGGAGTACCCCCTATACACTGGTGTGAAGCCTCACCACACACTGGGTGATGCCCTCCCTCCATACCCTGGGATAGAACACCTCCGTACACTGTGGTGGAGCCCCACTCCCTCTACACTGGGTGGAGCCCCACCATACACTTACATGGAGAACCCCCCTCCTTATACACTGGGGTGGAATCCCCCCCATACACTGAGTTGAGCACCACCATCCACTAGTTGGAGCCCACCCATACACTTAGTTGAACACCGCCATACACTAGGTGGAGCCTTCATACAATGAGTTAAGCACTGCCATACACGGGGTGAAGCCCCCTATATGCTAAGTTGAGCACCACCATACACTGAAGTGGAACCCCCAAGACACTGAGTTGTGCACCACCATACAATGGAGTGGAACACCGCCATACATTGGGGTAGAGCTCCTTCTTACCGGGAGTAGACCACCGCTATACACTGGATGGAGCCCGCCATACAATGAGTTAAGCGCTGCCATACACTGTGTGAAGCCCCCTATACACAAAGTTGAGCACGACCATACAATGGATGTAGCACCACCATACACTGGAGTGGAACCCCCAAGACAATGAGTAGAGCACCGCCATACAGAGGGGGGGAACCCTCATACAATGAGTTAAGCACAGCCATACACAGGGTGAAGCTTCCTATACACAAAGTTGAGCATGACCATACAATGGATGGAGCACCACCATACACTGAAGTGGAACCCCCAAAACACTGATTTGAGCACTGCTATACACTGGGGTGGAGCTCCCTAATACACCGAGTTGAGCACCACCATACATTGCAGTATCTGCTGCATTTAATCATTTTACTTGTCCTGCAACATCCTACACCTACACTGTGATGTAATATTTATGTAATGTCTCATTTCCACCCTCCAGATTCCGGATGGGAAAGTCACGCCGAGGACGACCACCATGACCTTCACCTGCTTTGTGTTCTTTGACATGTTTAACGCCTTGGCCTGCCGCTCTCTGGTGAGTGATACCCCATATAAACAAATTGATCGTTCAGTTCTGTGTGGAGCTCCACGTTGAATTATCCTCATCTACGGAGCTCCTTTAATGGCCCACAGATTGGACCTCCAAAACATTGAGACATCACCAGCTCAGCCTCCACAATACAATGTGCCCAAGCCTTTCCTACTTCACCTAATAGTAAAAAGCAGTTCTGATAGTTCACTTAGTCTTTCTATGGTCAGATTTGGATGGAATAATCAAACTCTAACCTTGTTAAACATTTTCCACTCCCCTGCCGTCTGGTCATCCTCACCGATTCCTCTCTCCACAGCATAAAACGGTCTTCGAGATTGGGTTCTTCAGAAATCGAGTCTTCTGGTATTCAGTGATTGGCTCCATCCTGGGACAGATGGCTGTCATCTACATCCCCCCTCTTCAGAAGGTTTTCCTGACACAGAACCTGCATGCCTTGGGTAAGTCACAGAAGGGATCAGACCATTGTGTATATTATGTGTCTCCTTTGTATCTTCCTATCTCCTGTCTAAACAATGTTGCTTTGTAAGATGTGTGATAGAGAGATAACATTGTTTATAGACCTTGTTCAGACAGGAGATAATGAGATACAAAGTAACATTGTTTATAGACCTTGTTCAGATGGAAGATAATGAGATACAAAGTACACTGCTTATAAACAGAATTCAGATGGCAGAGGAATACAGGATGAGGAGGTGACTTCCATTAAAGTCTATGGGCACGAGTCAGATAGAAGTCACCTTGAAGTAGTACAGGAACCTTTTCTAAAGTCAGAGTGACTTCAGTAGTGCTAATTAAGACCGCTCTCGTTGACTAACATGGGATTTGACATGTCATGCGACTTGGGGTCTTGCAAGTTGAATCCCAAGTTGCAGCAGTGTGAACCAAGCCAGAAACTTACAAAGTAACATTGTTTATAAACATTAATCAGATGGGAGAAAGAGATACAAAGTAACAATGTATATAAACATTAATCAGACAGGAGATGGAGAGATACAAAGTAACATTGTTTATAAACATTGATCAGACAGGAGATGGAGAGATACAATGTCTATAAAAAAAAACATTACATTGTATTTCTCTATCTCTGTCTGAACAAGGGCTAAAAAAACACCTACAACAATGATTCAAGATCCGTATACAACCTGGAAAATGGTCCAGTATAGGGAACAATGTCATTTTTTTATTTTGTACTGAAATATCAATTTTTTTTTCTGCCCAGATCTCCTCTTCCTCACCGGCCTGGCATCCTCTGTGTTCCTCGTGTCAGAGCTGATAAAGTTTTGTGAACAGTACTGCTGCCAGAAGAAGACAGTGAAAGTTTTGGAGGAGGACATATAACCTGGACTCGTCTGTATTCTCGTCACCCTTTCCTTTCACCGACACTGTGACCTGCCCCTGCCCTTCCAATCATGTGATCTCCGACGTCACTCGGCAACGCGCCCCGCGCTGTAATACGTATTTATGTAAAAGTTGACACTGCTGTGTTTTATGGAAAAAAGAAAACTTTGTCATTTATCAGGCATGAGTACCGACCAGAGAAGACTTGCAACAAACCGTCACGCGTTCCTGATCAACCGGCAAAAGACAATGAGCCTTGCATTCTTCACTTTTTTCTTTTTTGTATTTTACAATTCATTTTAAAATAAAGACTAATCATTTATTTTTTAAAAAGAATAATAATAATGATGATAATTACCATTCTCACTGGCCGGATGAGAAAAAGGTTTATATTAAAGGTACAATGCTGCCACCTGCTGGTTCATTGTGGCAGCACTGACCATTCTTCCCACTGACATGAATGGTATTGGCCACCATTGTAAAGGAGTCCTTATCCTCTGACCACCAATGAAGGAGGAGCCAATGATTTTCTTGGCCTGACCATTATTATTATTCTTGCATTTCATGATTATTACTGAAAGTTGTGTCTTTTATGGAGCAGTGTGTTATTAACAAACAATCCTCCTGGGGTGACAAATATGCCAGATCATTGGGCTGGATGTGGTCCTTTGCTTGCCTTTGACTGGCCCTTGGGCCCTATTCCTCTCACTGATACAAATGAAGAAGCCCTGAGTCCTATTTCCTCCAACTGACACTAATAATGGGGTCCTATTCCTCCCACTGACACAAATGAAGAAGCTCTGAGTCCTATTCCTCCCACTGACACATGAAGAAGCCCTGATCCTCCTACTGGCACCAATAATGGGGCCGCCTTATTAGTCTAATACCAATGATGGAGCACAATTCTTTCAACTCGCAACATTGATGGGACACCGTTCCTCCCACTGACACCAACAATGGGGCACTATTCCTCCTACTCACACCAATAAAGGGACAGCATTCCTCCAACTAACACCAACAAAGGGGCCCTATTCCTGCCATTGGCACCAAAAAAGGGCCCTATGCCTCCCCCCCGACACAAATGAGGGGACACTATTCCTCGTACTGACACTCAACAATGGAGTACTATGCCTCCTATATACACCAACGATTGGGCATCATTCCTCCCACTGACACCTGAAATGGGACACACTTCCTCCCACTGATGCCAGTGATAGGGCACTATTACTCCCACTGACATCAATGATGAGGGATCATTTTTTCCACTGACACAGATGAGGTACTAATACTCCACTGACACCAACAGTGGGGCACAATTCCTTCTACTGACAGCAAGGATGGGGCATTATTCCTCCCACTGACACCAATTATAAAGTCGTATTGCTTCTACTGACACCAATGATGGAGCACAATTCCTCCCACTGATACAAATGACAGAGCATTATTGTGCCCCAGTATTGGTGTCAATGAGAGGAATAGTGCCCCATCATTGGTGTCAGTGAGAGGAATATTGTCCCATCATTGGGGTCAGGGGGAGGAATAGTGCACCATCACTGGTGTGAGTAGGAGAAATAATACTTTATAGTTGGTATTAGTGGGAGGAAGTTTGCCCCGTCATTGTTATCGGGGGGGGGGGGGATTGTGCCCCCCAGTGTTGATGCAGTGAGAGTGTTTTCCCCCTCCACTAATAGCAATGATGGGTCATTATTCCTCCCACTAACACCAATGATGAGGCACACTTCTTCCCACTGATACCGACGGGGCACTATCCCTCCCAGCAACACTGATGAAGTACTGTTTCTCCCTCTGACACAAACTATGCTACACAGTTTCTTCTCCTGACACAAATGGTGGAGCAGTATTATTACTCCTATTGATAGCAATGATGGAGTAATATTTCTCCCATTGACACCAACAATGGGGTACTGTTCCTACCACTGATACTAATAATGAGGGATCATTCCTTTCACTGACACCAATGTTGGGACACTGATCCTTCCACTGCCACCAACGATGGGACAATATTCCTCCCACTGACTCCAATGATGGGGAACTATGCCTCCCACTGAAACCATTGATGGGACACTCTTCCTCCCACTGACCGCAACGATGGAGTACTAATCATCCCACTAACTCCAACAATGGAGCACTATTCTGCTCACTGACACCATTGATGGGGCATTTATACCTCCCATTGACACCAACAATGGGACACTATTCCTTTCACTGCCACCAATGATAGGGCACTAATGCAGCCACTGACACTAACACTGGGGCACAATTCCTTCCACTTACAGCAACAATGGTACACTACTCCTCTCACTGACACCAATGATGGCACTATCCCTAGCAACACTACAGTTCCTCCCACTGACACTTGTGAGGTGGCACTGTTTCTTCCCCTGACATCAATGATGGGGCACTATTCCTCTCATTGACACCAACAATGGAGTACTGTTCCTCCCCCTGACGCTAATGATGGGGCAGTAGTCCTCCCACTGAAATCAAGTATTGGGTACTATTCCACTGACAATAATAATGAGGGATAATTTCTTTCACAAGCAATGGGGCACTAATCCTCCCACTGACACCAATGATGGGGCATGATTTAACCCACTGAAACCATTGATGGGGCAGTATACCTCTCATTTACACCAGGGATGGGGCACTTTTCATCCCAGTGATGCCAACGATGAGGCACTCTTCATCCCACTGACACCAATGATGGGGCACTAAACCTCCCATGGACTCCAATTATGTGGTACGATTCCTCCCACTGACACCAATGATGTAGCACGATTCCTCCTACTGACACCAATGATGTAACACGATTCCTCCCACTGACACCAATGATGGGGCCCTATTCCTCCCACTGACACCAATGATTGGACCCTATTCCTCCCATTGACACCAATGTTGGGGCACTATTACTCCCACTGACACCAATGATGGGGCACTATGCCTCCCACTGACACCAATGATGTGGCACGATTCCTCCTACTGACACCAATGATGTGACACGATTCCTCCCACTGACACCAATGATTGGGCCCTATTCCTCCCATTGACACCAATGTCGGGGCACTATTACTCCCACTGACACCAATGATGGGGCACTATGCCTCCCACTGACACCAATGATGGGGCAGTATTCCTCCCAGAAATATAAGTACAGCAAATTCAAGAAAACGATTCAAAAACTGATGCAAAGTTCAACCAATCTCAGGCAGGACTAGAGCGGGGCCATAGGAGGAACTACATTGTATAGGAGGGATCAGAGCATGGACTATATTAGGGACAGGTGTCTATGGAGAATGTGGCTTATAAAGCAGAGCAGGGAGAGCTCACACTGCATGCTGGGAGGAGAGACTGAACGCTGACATTGTGAATTGGTCCTCATGGCCCTGCAGGCATGAAGCCCGGGGAAAAGTATGAGGGCACCCTGAACACTGAAACTTGATAAGGATTAGCAAACCCTGAGCACTGAACCCCAGGGATAAGGATGAAGACACCATGAACACTGAAGGTTGGAGATAAGAATGAGGACACCCTGAACACCAAAGCCTAGGGATAAGGATATACTGAACACTGAATACTAGGGAAAAGGGTGAGAAGACCCTGAGCACTGAAGCCCTGGGATGTGGACGTCTCGACACTGAAGCACAGGGATAGGGGTGAGGACACCTCAAACAATGAAGCATAGGGATAAGGATGAGGACACCCTGAGCACTGAAATCCTGGGATGAGGACATCTCGGACACTGAAGCCTGGAGATAAGGATGTGAACGCCTAAAACAATGAAGCCCGGGAATAAGGATGAGGACACCCTGAGCACTGAAGCTTGAAAATGGGGATGAAGATATCCTGAACACCAAGGCAAATGAGGATGCCCTGAGTACTGAAGCCCAAGGATAATGATGAGGACTCCCTGGACACTGATGCTTAGAGATCATGATGGGAGAACCCTAAGCACTGAAGCTCAGGAATAAGACACTTAAGTTTTTTACTTTGATTGTGAATAAGCAATGAAAAATATGTGAGCCAAAAACATGTTGAGCGTGTGTTGTCTAATGTTCTTGTCAGTATTGTGTGTTTTTTACATGTGTTGTGCTCTGGCCAGAGTGGATTACTTCTCTGGCACATTATTTGGTCTGAGTTTACTCTGTGGTAAAAGCGGATGCCTGGTTTGGATCTATCTATATATTTGTCTCTCTATTTTTCTATGAATCAAGGATAAAAGGGCTGATTGGCTGTAAAGCTGATACTCTGGGCAAAAAGGTCCTGCTGTCTATCCTCCGTAAAGGGGTATACCTTCTTCCCCATTTTACAGTCGAGACTGGGCACGCCGATGCGACAGCAGTGCAGAGTTCCAACTCTTCATTTTTGAATGCTAAGAAGCGATCTACCTCTTTACACAGCGATCGACCTAGGAGAGGGATCAGCAAAGAGGGATCAGCCTCTAAGAGACATACTTGTGAACAGTATAAAAGCTCCATAAGCCTTATCAAAGAATCAGAATATGTTGAGAAGAGGTCAGAAGTGTAATGTGAAATATATATATATATATCGAGATATATATCTATGCCATGGTTTGTGGACTCTACAACTTTCCTGCAGACTAAATAACATACACTAATTTGGGGTATTTGCACCAAAAAAATGTAGCCGAATAAATTTTGACCTAATATTATGAAAGGTTATTTATTTGCAACATTTTATAACAAACGAAGGAAACAAGTTTTTTCTTTTTTTTTTTTTTTCAAAAGTTTCAAGAGGTTTTTTTGTTTAGCAAAAAATGAACTCAGTGGTGATTAAATACCACCAAAAGAAAGCTCAATTTGTGTGAAAAAAATGATACAAATTTTTTATGGGTACAGTGTGGCATGACCGCACAATTGTCATTCAAAGTGAGAAAGCGCTGAAAGCTGAAAACTGGCCTGGGCAGGAAGGGGGTAGAAATGCCCGGTAGGCAGGAAGGGGGTAGAAGTGCCCGGTAGGCA